TTTTTGAGGCTGTGCAGTGACTATAAAGCTAAATGTAACTTATGTTTGTAACAAGCTCTGACTGCCTCAACTGCCTAATTGCCCCTAAATTTTATACACTGGATCTTTAAGTCTATGTTTTCATTTTCTTTAACCCAAATGTAATGTTTTCCAGGGGGTTGGGTCAGGCCCTTAGGAAGTGCACCATTAGTCAGTGCCTGTTTTTGTAGTGGTCATACAGTAATACTGCAATTTCTGGGGTCTGTCATATGATGCCCTTCCGGCTTTTTAGACTTTTAACATGGTGAAAGACACGTCTGTAAATCAGTTAATGTATTTTTTGAGCATCACAGTCCCCACGCAATGACTCGTTTTGACATCAGGATGTAAATTAATCAGTCCGATAACATCTATAAAGTCTAGAAGAGCTGCAAGATTAAATACTGATTCAGTTTAGTTGAGTGCTAGGCCGGAAGTCAGCCATTAGGTCACACTCAGCGGAGCTCAGCCGCCGTACGTCTCTAGTGTACTTCCTCAATTGACCTATGGCTAAGCCACGTCCACTCACTTGGACAAACTATCAACATTCAGTGCCCGGCGCTATGGCAGGTGTCACAGTGCACGGCATTTCACAGGAGGCAATTTTTGGGGACATAATGATCAGATGTCATTGAGAAGTAAAAGGGCCTAAACTACGCATTGGAGGGATATATTCATCATTTTATTGTTGAGAAGGTCGATGAAAAGCTTAAATTACAAGCCAAAATTTACAGGTCACAGTGTACGCTTGTGAACCACATCTGGTTGCCGTCGCCATCAAAGACAACAAGTTAAAGTGCCACTGAAGTTAAGGTTTTTGGCTCAGAATATGAGAAAAGGATAACGGCCTTTTTACCATCTTTACCAAGAGTGTCTCTCCGTTAGTTTGGTGCTACAGTATTTACACTGAATCATTCAGCATAACGTTTGCCAACCTTTTTTATCTCTGCCATTACAGATAAGTTAATGAAGCTAAGCTCCGGAAGTTAACGTTAGCTTAACTAGAGCCCTTTGGACAACAGCTAACAATGATGTACGATCACCAAAGTACAAAACTAGATCAAAATAGGCTAATGAACTCCCAGCAAACAAGGTGACATGATGAACAACGCAGCTAGGAGCTAACGTTAGGCTAACTTTAGCTACCGTTAGCTAGAGATGTTAAAGATAACTTTATATTTCTTTCCAGCAAAGTGACAATATGTTGCCTCAAACACAATGTTGACTTACCTTAGAACAGATGTAGACATCATTGTTAATCTTATTCACGTTGAGTTGATGTTGTGGTCTAACGTTACCACACAACTTTATCCAAAGGAGACACTTTTCTCGGTTGAGATGTGGTTTAAAGTGTAAAAAATACACCTGGTCGCCCAGCCTCTCAGGATACCTTGTGTCAGAGTTGCATGTACCCCATGCACACTGTTTGACCATTTTTAAACTTCAAATCTCCGAAAAAGCTCATAAAACCGAACATAACTGACTTTCTGTAATGCATTTCAATGGACGTCCAGGCAGAGAATGTCCCAGTGTATGGGAATGGCTATACGCACTGTGATTGGCTTGTCGCGTTTGAGGGCGGGATTTAGCCATAGGTCAATTGGTTTAAGTTGAACCAGGAGAGAACGGGCCGCACATTCCATGCTGTATCCAGTTCTCCTAACGCATCCATGGTTTGGGTCAGGAGAAAGTCTAATGCACGTGCCCTTTACCCTGCGCCTGTTTGCCCGACTCTCCCTGAAGCACATAACCACCCTACATCAGCAGTCTGACACTTCCAATACATTCACCAGCTGTTTTTTAGACATTTCAGATGGCTTACCTGAAAACTCCTGATGCTACTTTTGCTTTAAGCTACCTACCAACTCCTTTGAGCAATACCTTGAGAAACTGAGGCAATTTACCACTTTGCAAACAATTGAGAAACCGAGGTGTGATTGGTTACCTTGCTGAGCTTACAGTCACAGTTCACTGATTTGAGGTTTTTGTTCTCCCATCAGGCTGCTGCTCACTGCCAGTCCCACAAAGTGAGGTGAGCCTGTTGTTGTGTAAAGACGACCTTCGACCTGTAGTTCATACACCCTGCAACATCATGTGCAAGAAACAAAAGACTATAATAAAATGATACCAGGAGGGGAGTGGAGATCTGAATGTTTAATACAATTATACAGAAAACAGCTGTACAATATACAGTGCACACACACACACTCACACACACTCAGTCTTTCTCGCACACACACACAGAGCCAAAGAGCACACGATGACTATAGCACACATTGCATGAACAAACACAGTGCTCAGAGGATCTACAGAGTTTTCACTGTCGGCCATGTTGGCTCCACCCTTCAGCTCACTGGCCGTTGCTATAGACACTGTTGTTTCTGTTGCCCTTGTCACCATGGTGATAATATGGACGATGTCTTTATTCACAGTCAGAGGAAAGTGACAGTAAGGTAGTTTTATTAGGAGCTGTCTGATCTCTGAGCATCTGTGTGCTTAAAGGAATATTCTGGTGTTTTCTGATGATCGCACTTCCCCCGCTGCTGTAAATCTGTTTCCGCTGGGGAGCGCTCGTGTCCACAGTTTCTACAGTGATGGCTGAGAGTACAATGTTGTGCTAGCCTATGGGTATATTGGCCAAAAGTACAAGACGACCCATGTTGTAAGAAAACAAAAAAGCTTCAGTTAAAGTGGTCACATGTAAACTCTGATTAGAAACCACTGATTCACTGCTGCTGCTCTCTGAGGTTCAAGCCTTTGGCCACGCCCCAATCAGTGATGTCACAGCAGGTACAGGTACAGGTAAACATTTGGTCTGCTTAGAACAAATGCATCTCTTAAAGTCACAGTGAAACAGCAGTTAGAGCATCTTCAGCTCCTGTAATGTGACGAACTCTCGAGGAAAATGGAGAATAACAACGTGAGGAATTTAAATCCTTTGTGGGACTGATAACCCAGGGTCCCAATGGGAGGGGGTTTGTATTTTTTAATTGTAAGTAATTACTGAACAACTAGTACAGGGTCACCGGAATAGATCTTGGGAAATGTATTTTAATTTCACTGTGTCTTTAAGAGGGTATTGTGATTTATGAGTGCTAGCACTATAGTCACCTTCTTCACAGGGACACAATGATGACCTTTGCTAAGCCACTTTCTCTAGTTTGCTTTAAACACACATATTTGGTACATATTGTTAGTCAGCTAACAGCCACAGCTCTGTACACTGGCCATTTGTACATGAAATGCAAAAACACTCCAGTGGTGAAAGTCATGCAATTGAAACAAAAGAAATTCACTTTTCACACCTGTACAGGTGGTTGTTCTGCTTTTGGTCACATTTTTTTTTTTCTTTCTTTTTTTTTTTTTTTAAACCTAACGGTCATGAAGCTGAGTGCTGAAATAATTTCAGCTTGCACTGACATCACTTTACACCAACTCCAATGATTTTCCATGTGCATCTTTTGATTGGCTTTATCGCATCGTCTCTGAAAGCTGCTCTGTGTTCAGTCTGAACACACGTTTAAGATTGTACAGCAAAGAAAGTGCCATTTTTAAGGTCTTTTCAGACCAAGAGTGATAAATTTGTGCATATTAATTGCACATTAAGGTAAAAAAAAAAAATTTGATCTCTATGAGCCTTTCCACACTGAATCCAAAACATTTGTATTTTGCCATGCAGTTTTTTTTTGTTTATTTGTTTTTTGTTTGTTTGCACAGGTGGTTAGATATCCACAAATTTCAAATACCATAAAAACAAGCCAACAACTTTTGCTCATGTGATCAATATATTTTCTCGGACTTTGACATCATAGTTGTCTTTATACTGTCCCATAACTATGTCTATATTGTTAATTGATCAATTTGTGGTCTCACAACACAGTGACAAACAAGGTTATAAAGACACAAACACAAACAGAGCATCTGAGAAAGTGTAACTTAGCAGTTAAACTTAACTGTGACAGTGAGTAGTTAGGCTAAACACACTTCGTTGTTTAGGTAACATATTAACATCCATGTGCATTGGCTAACGTTATGTTGTAGAGGATTCATGTGTCAAAAATGATATGTAGTCATTGTAAAAGTTAAACTATAAAACCTGACTATATAGGATAAACAGTAATGTTACATTAGTTATTAATGCTGTACACACGGTCAGTCAACGGCTGTATGATGCTAACCTTTCATTTTCAGTACAAGAACACCAACATTTGTGTCGGTCTTGGTGGGAAAGGTTGAACGCAAAACAATCATCAACAATTTTTTATGTTTGTTTTTTTCTTCCATCCCTGGTGTGTAAAGGCTTTTCCCCTCATCTGTAACTTCCGTCCTAGGAAACAAAATATCACCGACCAATCAAGTAACAACAAGGCTAACAGTATACAGCCATGCTAGCGGCTCTGTGAGGCTACTTAGGCACAGCGGTGCTTTGAGCTAAATACTTTCACAATAGTAAAGCTAACATGCTAATGTTTTGCAGGTATAATGTTTACTAAGTTGACATTCTGACATTCCCGTCTACACATATGCAGATATTTTCAAAATGAATATTTTCCCCCTCCGTTTAAATAAAGGAAAATTCTGTCCACACAGCAATTATTTTACAAAATATCTCTGTACACACTACAATGCAGAAGCGATTCAGGGCGCCCTATTTAAACTGCTCTGGCCTGCCTACTGTTGCTGCTTCCTCTGCAAGCTGCTTTACAACCTGCCTCCAGCCCAGCTCCTCCTTTTCATGCTGTGTCTGACTTATCAATGTCATTTCTGTTTGTCATTGATGCTGCTCTCTTCTGTTCCTGGGGGGTCTTTGCTGCTGCTCTCCCTGCCTTAGGCTTTCCATGTAGGCGCATGGAAGGGCAGGGAGGTTTGCTCCCTTTGCCTCAGGCTTTCCTTGTTTGCGCGTGGAAGGGCAGAACAGTGTGCTCTCTTCACCTTAGGCTTTCTGCGTAGGCCTGGGAAAGGCAGAGAGGCCCCAGAACAGAGCCATACCACCAAATATAATACTGCAAATGGAAATAAAGTTTTCTTTGACTAAAGTGGTCCTGACTAAACTCTGTTTGCTTGTGGACACAAGGCCAAAACAAAGAGGAAAATAAATGTTTTCAAAAATACCTGTATACGTGTAGATGGGGCCTTAGTTTAGGGTGTTAGCATGCTAACATTGCTAACTGGTACTAAGCACATTGTACAGCTGAGGCTAATAGGAATGTCTTCAGTTCTGCAGGTTTTTTCCTCATGTATGTGATGACATCGCTAGACACAAAGTTATTACAATTCATCGTTGTTAAGACACTTCACTACAAGAAAAATAAAACAGCCTCTTGGTGGCTCTAGAGGAAAAGTCAGAGAATCACCAAAGTAGATACAATTCATCCTTCAGGAACCATGAACATCTGTACACAATTTTACAGCAAACAATCCAACAATATCTCAGTCTGGAGTCAAAGCTCTGCCGCTAACGTGGCTAACAACAGCTCCGATATCCTGGAGGATGTTTTGATGATTCTCTGACAGCTCTGACATCACATATTTGGGGGCGTGGCCAGAAGCTCAATCTGCTTAATAATATGATCCCAGAAGAGAAAATGAAGCAGAAATCACTTCTAACATAAGAGGTGTACAACCACACACCTGTCCCTGTGCTCAGCTTCATTCACAAAACCTCCACAACCGCGTCTTCACAGCTCCATGTCTCATTCCTCCAGCTGACAGACATTAAGCCTGCCTTAACCATCAACAGCCACTCTTTGGTTTTCACCTGCCTGTCTTTATTTTTATTCAAATTTTGATATTTCCACTAATTTCACAGACATTGTTCCTCTGAGCTGCTAATAAAATCATAAACACTTTCACCACAGTGAACCATGGGCCGTGAAGCTGCTAAGAAGCTGTTATCTGATGAATGTCGTCACTTTGAATGTGGTATTTTCATGGTCAGTTGTAAACATAAGGTCTAGTGGCCCTTTAGGGGCCACTGAGGGGCCTTTGAGTTGGCTGCTGTGTTTAAACAGAAGAGTCTGAACCCTCGTTGTCACTGCACCGCACCACCTGTTGACATGGTGATCAGCCACAGTCAGATACAGTGGTGAGTTCAAGGTGGAGCGCCATCAGGCGTTTTCAGGCACTTCATCACCGTCCTCCTCCTTCTCCTCACCTGGCCCCGCCCCTGTAATGGTTACCACAACAACAGCTCAGCTCACTGACAGTTACGGTTTAAGAAATGTGTCCGAATGATGTCATGTTAGTACCGTTCCAGGTCAGGTGGACAGGTGACTTGTCTTCTTGTGTTTCATCAGGAGGACAGGCCTCAGAGTTCTGTGATTGGTCAGAGGTTTGTCCATCAGGGACACTGTGACTGGGTGAGGCGTGTGATTGGATATCTGAGTTGACATTAGACTCCTCTTCCTGTTGTTCCTCTTTCTCCTTACTAGCCAGCTCTGCGCACAAAACAGGAACATTTAAGTTACAGAAAACATGAATGCTTCACATCTTCCCTCCGGCAGCCCATAAGATCTATACAGTCAGCACAATGTCAGGTGGACACCCAAGATTAGAGTCACCAGTTCAGTATCTGACCAAATGTCTCCCTTCTGTCCCTGAGATATGATGTTGAATAATGGCCAGAAATGTGTTTTGTGAGGTCACAGTGACCTTGACTTTGACCTTCAACCACCAAATCCTAATCAGTTAATTCCTGAACCCAAGTGGACATTTGTGTTGAATTTCAGGAAATTCCCTCAATTCCCTTCTTGAGATATCAAGTTTGCAAAATGAGATGAACGCAAGGTCACAGTGACCTTTGACCACCAAAGTTTAATCAGTTGTTCCTTGAGTCCAAGTAGACGTTTAGATGGTTGTGCCAGATTTATTTTTAAAAATTCCTGCCAGGTGTTCTCGGGATATAACGTTCACAAGAATGTGACTAACAACGCCACATTGACCTTGACCTTTGACCATCAAATTCTAATCGGTTCAGAATCGGTTGACTCAAAGTGGACGTTTGTGCAAAATTTGAAAAGAATTGCCTCAGGGTGTTCTTGAGATATCATGTTGACAAGAATGAGCCAGATGCAAGGTCACAGTGACCTTGACTTTTGATCATTGACCATCAAAATGTAATCAGTTCAGTCTTAGGTCCAAGTGAGTGTTTGTGCCAAATTTGAAGAAATTCCCTCAAGGTGTTCTTGAGATATCGTGTTCATGAGAATGGGACGGAAGGACAGACCAACGCATAAACTGAAAACTCGCTTGCGGCCACAGCTATCACCAGCGCCTCCTTCTAAACACAACCAGACACGTTCCAGCAGGAATATGATCCGAAATTGGAGAGAACTTAACAACACTGGCAACCAAGATCACTGGTTTCTCTAATGTCAGCATGTAGCTACATGTAGCAGTGTATGTAACGTAACACACTTGTAGTAGTGGTGTTTTCAAGAGATTTTGCTAAAACCAAAATCTCAGAGGATCACCTGAGTCAGCAGGATCCATTGTCTTGGGACCTTGAATATCTGTACAAAATTTCATGGCAGTCTCTCCAGCAGTTGTTGAGATAATTCAGTCGGTGCCAGACCGACAGTTTTATGGTGAAGAGTCAGCCAAATGTTTCACCTGTTATCATCCGGCACTGTTTAACACTCCACTGAAGTCACCTTCTGTCAACACTAATTAGACTAATGACTGTCAGACATCAAAGGAGGTGCCCTACTGAGAGCAATGTCCCCTATTTAGCCTTTTTTTCCCCTCTGTGTAATGAAACAGAGCCAAGTCATTTTTCAAACCCAGGAAATACAGATAATGCAGTTTAAGCAGAGAGACATGAACTGAATTTATGGCATTTTCGAGGACTGATGACAACAAACTTAATGTACAGAGCTACAAATGTATGATTTTGAGTGTATTGTGCCTTTAAATCCACTTGTGTGTGTGTGTGTGCGTGTGTACCATGCACAGACAGCTCTTTCCATCTGTCCTTGTTGCTGCCGATGACGCTGGATAGGTGGAGCTTCATCGCCGGCAGGTCGATGGCTGTCAGGGAAAAGTCCAACTGTCCATCATCGCTGTTCCCGTGGCGATTACTACTGTGTCTCTGCACCGACTCCACTGTAACTGTACCGCTTCCTGTTAGGCTGCAACAGAGCAGAGTTACGGACCAGCAGGGGAAGGTCAAAACCAATGGTGCCCCACAGAAGTGTCCATATTCCGTCCAATCATATAAGACGATGGCCTCGTCTTAAACAACCAGGAAGTCCATGTAAACTGGTGAAACTGATTTAAACCTCTGACTGTTTCTATTAATACTTTACATTTTAGAAAAAAATAGTACAACTATTGGATTGGTACTTGGTATCGGCCAATGTCCTGACTTTGGATGTCAGAATCATAATCTGGGAAGAGAACATTGGATGAGTTTTCTAACACAGTTGCTCATCTTTCAGACTGACGATTAAATGAGGAGGAGGGAACTAGTACGAGTTCAAGACCAATTTTCAACACCCACCCTTACATCTATCATACTTGTGGAGAAAGTATTTATGTGGAAGTGGAACTGTGATCACTTTTATGTTGTAACCACTTCCCTCAGAAGTATTAGTAGCAGTAGTACCTGGACCTCCTGTTTCCAGTTTCTTTGGCCTTCCTGTCTTCTTCTATCAGAGGACCAATCACCTTCTCTGTCGTGTCGATCAGAACACTGAAAGTGGGCTCCACGATAAAGTCAATGAAACCTGCAACCAGGAAAAGAGACGGATGAAGAAAGGCAAGAAGGAAAGGTAGGAGGATGAAGGAGTAGAAAGGTAGCCTTGAAGGTAACCTGTGAGGGTGACGTGTGCTTCAGTGTTTGCATGTGGAGGGAAGCAGCTCTCTCAGGGTGTCATGGTGAAGACGGCAGAAGGCAACGAGTGATGATAGCAGTAGAATTAAGTGTCTAGATGAGCTTAGTTCAACGTCATGAGAAGGCCATGTTTGTTTTTTTGTGGTGAAGACTGCAATAAAGCCATCGCTGGTGAATGGCACCTGAACGCCTCGCCATCCTTCCTTCTGCAGATTTGACCGGAATACTAGAAGCTAGTAACCAGCTAATAACAAGCCAAGCTAATTTTATGCTAATAAACCAGCGTGTCCCCAGCTACGGTTCGGAGCCAGTAAAATGTCACTGAGGGAGCTAACGTCACATTACACTGAATTTGTGAGGGGAACTTTCTTTTTCTTGCATGCCTCCATGGCAAATGGAGAATCCAGAGACAAAGAGAATTCTGGATGAATTGAAGCCATAGAGATCCACGTGTAACAACAGCAAAACTATATCAAAACATCTGATTACAAACTTTCACACAATTCGTGCAGTATAAAACAAGTCTCATTTATCCAATGGTCTGCTGAGCACTTCCCAGACAGACAGACCTTTCTGACAGGAAGCTGAACAAGGAGTGAAACTTATTGATGCTCTCTACAAAGCCAGACTCCATTGACAAAAACAGTAATTTTACCTCACTGAACACAGGAGCTGCAGGTTCACCGCTGAATTGATCAGTTAGTTTGACTGTGTTATTGTGTGACTTTGTGTTATTGTGTGATTTTGATGAATCCAAACTATCCCTTTGAAACACCAAAACATTACCAATTGAGGCAGCCTAAAGGGGCGATCACACAGAAATGAGATGCTAGAGACGTGGATGCTTCAAAGACGCTTGAAACACTGGAAGCGCTTATTCAATACGAGCTAGCTACTGGCGTCTGACACTCAAAAAGTTGAAAATATTTTAACTTTTCAGCGTCAACACGCGTCTATAAACGCACGTCTAAAAAGAAGCGTCTACAAAAACACGCATCTAAAAATACGCTTGAATCACCGTTCAGACGCGCCATATCATAGGGAAACAATGGTTTTACTGGCGTCGCATTTCCGGCGTTTCATCTCGGTGTGATCGCTCCCTTAGACCAGCAGCTCCCATGTTTGACAAGATAAAATTACTGCTATTGTCGGTGGAATTTTGTTTTGAAGAGAGCAAAGATAAATTTCAGTTTTAGTTCAGTTCCCCATTGGAAAGGGCTGCTTGTTTGGGAAGTCCTGAGCCTACGACTCCATAAATGAGACTTGGATTGTACTGAACGAGTTGTGTTACACTTTGTAAACAGATGTTTTGATATAGTTTCACTGTTGTTAAACGTGGACCCCTATGACTTCAATTCATCAATAATTTTCTCAATTTTTAGATTCTTTGTTCAGCGTGGAAGCATGCGAGAAAAACAAAGTTTTCTTCATAAATTCAAAATAACACAGGCTGAGTGACTGATATACTAATGATCATTTGGGGGCGTGAAGTATTTCTTTAATAATCAGACCTATCCCTCAAATGTCTGTGAATGAGATCAGTTCTTCAAACCACCAGCAGATGCTGTGGTTGAACTCAGGTTAATGAACACCGACAGCCTCCTGTCAGGAGTCAGTGGTATCATCCTCCTTGTGTCTGTTACTAGTTAACGAACTCCTCACCTGCCTGCTGTCCTCAGTTGTTATTGGTTGATGGTAGTTCTTACCTATCTGTGACTGGGCGATCATGGTGGCTTTGCGGTCACAGAGAGGAGAGAAAGGAAGGCCGAGCTCCACCTCTTTATCTCCCTGGAAGAGAAATAGTCACCACGGCAACATGAACATGGTGTGATTTCTTTTTTTAAGTCCTCAAATCAACTGTGTGATATTTACATCCACGTATTGTCACTTGAGCATAACAAGCAAACAGTGTGAATTCAAACAGACAGAGAAGAAAAGCAATCTGACCACACAATAAATTATTACCTTTCCTTTTGCAAATAGAACCATATCATTAACAGACAGTTAAAATAGCCCCATTTAAAGGAAAATGTTGTCAATACGACGTTTGAAGCTCTGTGGTTCATGCAAATTTTGCACTCGCTACTTTTGTTTTAGAGATTCTGAGAAATGACGACTCCCACAAAACAACCAATATCACAACAGGCTGCACAGCCTCCTGCAGCTTTCCAATAAACACAATTTTTACATGAATCAGTTTAGAGTAAATAACCAAAAGTATCCACCTGTAAGCACCACTGCATCTAACTGCGTAGGGATCTACATCCAGGTCAGCATCATTGAAATAAATCGGAAACAGATCTCTTTTTTTAATTCAATCAAATAACTGCAAAGATCATAATAAAGTAACAAGAAACTGAAGCAGGCAGATACATTTTTTTTTATTTAATTCAATTGAATCTATTTCAGTGCCCCAGTGTTGAGTCCGGGAAGCTGTAAATGAGTGAACATTTTAGATCTTCCAGTTCCCTCGTCTCAGAGTCAGTGGGTTGTTGGTTAGGTGCCTGAAATAAGATCTGTGGTTAACACAAGCTTAAGAGACTTTCACAGTTTTGTCAGTAAATACCTCACTTGTCTGTTCTGAAGCTTTTATGTGTCTCATAAAAGCTTCAGAACAGACAAGCGGCTAAATGAGATGACAGGACATCATCACGCCGAACATGGCTTTGCAGCCTCATTGTGGTGGTGATGTTGTCATACGACCTTGCCATTTAGTTTTTTACTTCTGACGGTTGAATGTATGTTTCAAAAATCATAAAAGCGATGGTTATTGATAAAGATCATCTTGCTGAACAAAATGCGTAACCACATGAAAGACTGTTCTCAACAGAGCTTATATTCTGCAATAACCTAAAATCAAATGAAAAAATCCCAGCGGCGTTTTGATGAGGGAACCAAGGCGACACTAACTTCCACATCCGCCTCCAATAAAACTTCCCCCCTAGAACACTAGAGGCCGTACACATGCCGCATTGTTAACCGCCTGGAAAACACAAGGCCAGGCGCAGCGTGCTACTCTCATGTCTTTCCTGTGCCAGCTTTCAAGAGTGCAGAGCTGATCATCCTTCAGGCGCTGTTTGTGTGTCGGCCTGTTGTCAGTGGGTCACATGTAAAGCTCCGGCAGCCCTGCACTAACATGATCAACTTATTCTAAATATGTATCACAGACTGATATTTACAGATGAAGGCTATGATTGGTTGGTCGTCATCACATGACATGCAGTTTGTGCTGTTGCATTTCAAAAGTTGAATTCAGTTTATCTCTCTGCGCCCTGAAAAACAGGCACTTGGGAACACATGCTGCGACAGCATCGCTGTGGGGTTTGAGAGTGCCTGCTGTGCATCTACTTTAACAACAATGAATTTGAGGGCGCAAAAAATGTGGCATGTGTACGGCCCCTTAGCTAGCAGCTGATTTGCATCTGTTGTCCCTGGGCAGGTAAACAAAAACAACAAAGTAGAAGCCAAAGTGGAGTAGAAGCCAAAATTGGCATGAAAAGAAGAGACTCGAGTAAAGTAAAAGTACCTCTAATTTGTACTTAAGTGCAGTACTTGAGTAAAAGTACATAGTTACATTTTGCCATTGGTGTGTGTGTGTGTGTATGTGTGTGTGTGTACCTGTCTGAAGAACTCCTCCATCAGACTGTGAGTCCAGCGGTAGTGCAGCGGCCAGGCTTTGGCTGGATGACTGATGTCTGCAGCGTGAAGCATCAGAGACAAAACCTTCACTTTGTCTAGACTGCAGAGAGAAAGACGACAAAGACAAAAGTCATTTTAAAATTATTCAATAATAAACTGTAACAATGTTAAGTAGTTGGACCGGGCAACAGTATTGAATTACCCTTTAAACCTTCAGCAAAATCTGTGGTAATGAATCTGATACTGAATGGAAAAGAAAAAGGACTGCTGCCCCGTATGTTCAACACACAGTGTTGTGTCTTTTATTTTGTATTTGGATCTGAGTGTGCAGAGTACACTTCTCCAGACAGACACTGCTGCAGTAACACAAGCAGAACCAGCGTGCCGACAGGCTGATGACAGCGTCTTCCCCGAAATCTCATCCGAGCGTGAGCTGAGCTGCGTGACAGCTTGCCTCCCTGCACACCTCCTCTCCTCCAGCAGGTCTGACACGCAGAGAGGGGAAGCTGGACTCTGGTCAGACTCAGTAACACTGCTGTGAAAGCCCCTACAGGGACGCTCAGAGCAGTCTGCTCCAGCAGTCTGCAGGACCTTATGTTGGCCATTTCACCAAACTCCCACTGATGATCTTCATCAGATGGAGCAGACACACGCAGTCTGCCACAGTGCACTGATGGAGCCTCTATAAAGCTGCTGCAGCATTTTATATAATAATCAGCCCTGAAAGGTGAGATGAAAAAATGATTTCATCTGAGTGTTGGAAACACTGAATGAGTCCAGTCCAGGCAGGATGACGATGGTCAGGTTACACAAAGAGAATTAAAACTGCAACTGACTCCAGGAATCACAGCATCAGTTTCATATTATATCAAGATATTTCTCCTCATCACCAGACACCAAATGATTGTCTTGTTACAAGAAACTCTTCTTAGAATGGAATAAGTGTATTTCACGATTCATTTGAGATTAAAAGGGTGAATTTTTCAGTCACTGCTTCGTTGTTTTTACAAGGAGAGCGAAATATTACGGTGAATTTAAGTCTGGGCAGAAGTGATGAATCGTTTCTAGCTACAAAGAGAGGTTAAATTGCTCAGATGGCTGATATATGATGCTGACTTTACCCCAGCATCACAAGATCATGGATTTAGACAATGGACCTGTTCTGGTGCCTCCATGTGCAAGATTGTGGAAAAATGTGAGCTTAAAAGTTCTGATAATCTATGTCAAACATGAGGCTTCAGTGGGCAGGACGTTTACATGTATTTACAGTTCTGTAAAAAAGGTAAAAGGTATTAATCCAAGAGAACCACCAGCTGCCAGTCATATATTTATTGATGCTTATAACTCAGGCAGTAATAAAGGTATAATCAGCAAGCTAAAACAATGCCATCACACCTCTGAATAAGGACACTGCAGATGATGTGAAGCAACGATGGGAAAAAGAGCTGGACACTGAAAAAACTGAGGACATGTGGCTGAGTGCCTGGGAAATGCCACAGTCAACCTCCACTAACTCCCGGACCTGGAGAGACTTCTGCTGGGGAAGCCTGATTCGCGTTTTCATCACACCCAAACAGAAGTCTAAACAAACTGGCACCAACCAACCAAGTGGCTCTGCTGCTGGAGGGACTGTGGAGAAATTATGGTCGACCATGCCCATGTTTTCTGGTCTTGTTTTTCTATTCTATTTTCAAAAACGTTGGGTTTTAGTTTTAGTATAACATTTACATCCCTTTTTCTTGGACATATTCCTGACTGACTAAGTAAAGATGATATCTATCTAAAGATCCTGCTGGCAGCAAGTAAAAAGGCCATTCCAAAATTCTGGCTCTCACTGTCCCACTGCTCGCCTCTTTGTTAATACTGTTAAACACTTACATCTTCCAGAACAGTTGACCTACTCCATATGACTTCAAGAAGAATTGGGCGAACAGTGGAGGAAATGGTGTGTTTATTCAGCCAATGAGACAGATTCCACATGATGATTGTTCGTACCATATACAACAACCTACTTTAAAACAGGAAAATTTGCCATGACTTTGTGAACATCCCATGACCTTATATTTGTCTTTTTTTCCTTTTTTCTTGTGTACTGCTTTTCTTTAAAAAAAAAAGTTCATAAAGAAAAAGTATTAAAGGGAACTCTTCTTATTATAACAAGATATTTATCTTATTATATAGTTAGTTGGTTTATTATTTTTTTAGTTTTTTAGTTTATTTTATTCCCGTGTCATGCACCTAAAAGTGCCCAACCCTCATGGGTTTATAAGACACCAAAAGAGATAGTTGCACCGTTCACAGATAATTCATAACAATTCAGTTAATTTCAAAATAACAAAAAAGAAACAAACATACTATAACAGCTCATTCTTGAACAAAATATTCTCTCTTCTCTCCCAGGCCTTGCAGACTTCCTGAAACAAAGTTCAAGCTTTTCATAATCATCTAACTCAAAGAAATAAACATGGAAGGAAGGCATTCTACGTAATAACACCTCCCTCTGAGCCTCATAAGCAGGACAATAAAACAAAAAATGAACTTCGTTCTCAGTTTCCCCTAATTCACACAATAAACAAAGTCTGTCCTCTTCTGGACAGTTACTAACCCTACCAGTCTCTAGAGCTAGAGGTTACGTTCCTGAACGTAGCTGTGCACAAAGAGATCTTTGTCTTTTGTTAACATTATACCTCACAAAGGGTTCTGTGCTGTAGCTGTTCTTCATGAGACAGTTAGTTCACAACTTTGGTTCATACCAAATATCAACAGACCATTTCTCTTTATAAGTAAGGAACATTTTACTCCTAATCTCCTGAATATCACAAGATAACCTATTCTGAAAAATAAATGACATATCGTTCAAGTAAAATAAGGATTCAAGCTCTTTAACCCAAGGATGACCATGTGAGATACCCCAATTAAATATCTTTTTACTGAACCTTTGATCAGAGATCTTCACAAGTCTATTCCAAAACTGAATCATTACACATCTATGCCATATATCTTGTTTTACAAAACATTCCTGTTACCACACAAAAACAATGTGTATATTTAAAAAACTGCATATATGTCTCATATTAAGGAGAGACACTGCAGGTCAATGCATGCACAATCTGAGAAATAAAGTACACAGTCTTTGTTTGAACTTCTTCCAAACTGGATGTTACAAAGGCAGAGGATGAGCTCAGCGTAACAATATGGTCAAAGGGAATTATTTTTCTCATCCACACACTGGAAGTGTTTCATCAACGATCCCATCACATTATCCACCACGCATGTAATTATATGATCAGATGTCCTGGAACCTAATGAAGAGATTTCATGTTTGCTACTCTGTCATTCCTCCTTATGAAACTCTTGTGTTCACTTGTTCTGCTTCAGCGCACGTGATGTTTTACCAACATGGCACAACCCACAAGAACATTTGATCATGTAAAGATCATTTGCATTAGCATGTACCAAGATGTCTCTACAGTAAGTCTACGTCCTCTTCAGTAAACTATGAGCGGTGGTTCTTTTGAATCCATAGATATTGTCGGGTCTGATCAAAACCTCTTCCAAATGATGAATGTTCATTCATAAGATTAAAACTTTTTGCAAATAATCTTGTAAATAGCCTTTATTGTGTAGGGAGCCTGAGGTTTCCTGTGTTTTCCTTGTTCCCTTGTTCTTTAATTTGCGGGATATGTGACATATGGTGCACAGGCTGTTGTCAGTTACTGAGAAATACACGCACAGCTGATTAATCCTGCCACACCTGTGCACAACAGTGAAATGGTTGGAGCAGTTTCTATGTAAACTCACTGTTGGAGATAAAGGTGTTGAACACCCCCCAATTTTCTGAAATGTATGTTTAACTATGATAACGATTCATTATCTATTCAAATACGTGCTGATTTGTGCACATTTCTAGAGCAGAAATCTGAACATTGGATAAAGCCATGCTCAGAATTCTTGTTTTACTTTGTCGACACATTAACAGTTTTTAAAGAGAAGATTGTAGACATCTCTTTTAATCACTCCATAAATCAGGAAATGCTGTCACCAGCCATAAAAAAGCCATATTTGGTGTGTTTTTAGGGATGAAATGTTCAGTAAATCAGGCTATGAATTAAACATGAACAAACCTCTCTGTACAAACCTTCAGAATATAAACAGGAATAAATTTGGAAAGGTCGGTGTATGGAAATGTTAGTGAGGTGGAGATTTCTTCTAATATATTCATTTTATATTTATTCATTTATTTGACAGGGACGCTGCAATGTAACATAGTTCCAATACAGATTATGGGACTGGTGTGTTGCACAGTGGGTTTATAGTTGTTGCTTTACATGTAGACCTAAAATGTTATTAAGAATATACAGTTTAAAATGATATAAAATCACAATACACTGGCTTAAAGTGTGAGGAGAAACTACTTTTGAGAAAATGGCCTTTAAAGATATGTATTGTAAAATTCCATACATTTTAAGACAAAAAGTGAGACACTACAGGTGAATGGGGAAATTTTTTGACCATTAGATATCACCGTGAAACTCCCCAAAGTTACACCAAGACTATTATTTTTTAGTAGGCTATAATAAGGTTTCTGAAATTTAATGTTTAAATATGCAAATTCAAATTATCTAATTAAATATGCGCTTAAATATGCAAGACAAGTTATAGAAGCAAAACAGCCCAAAATCTCAATATTTATGTTTTCAGCTCACCCAAACATACAGAATTTGTCTTGTTACCAACACATTACACAACCACATTATGGCAAGAAAAGTGTCTTGGTTTTGTGCAAAAGCAGGTACGTTTTGCGACACAGATAAAATGACATATTATAAAAAGAAATGAGGTCACGGGGTCAGAGGTCACGGCTGCAGCACTGACCTGTGTGTCTGTGTCAGGGAGTTCCTCATGGTCTTGATCTGCTGGAAGTGACAGGACATGTCTGTGGACATCACCATCTCTATCACCAGAGCCCTCAGCTCCCTGCCAACAATCAGTACACATGATCAACACAATCAGTGATCGATCACCATGGCAACTATCAACTCATCAGTGACATGTGGCCCACGTGTGTGTGTGTGTGTGTGTGTGTGTGTGTGTGTGCACCTCCAGTCGTCCTTGTTCAGGTTCACCAGGATGTTCATGTCCTCCTCTGCCATCAGCCTGTAGGCGGCGCTGACGTGGTGGTTCTCCAGCACCGACCTGTCGTTGTACAGAATGGCCACCTCTGACCTGACGGACACACACGACATCCAATCAGACGCTGACGTTTGCTACAGTCGCATTATACATAGAAGTTGTACATACATGTTCTTGTTATTCACCTGAGGCCTGGGATAAATCACCATGGTAACTGATGCTGAACAGCTAGTGTAGAGTGTGAGATCACAGCCTGTGAACACCCCGACCTCTGGCTAATCAGACCACTGAAGAAAAACCTATCCATGGACAAGAGCCTGGAGTCTCAGGTAAAACACAGTAGCCTGTATGTTGTTTGAGGTCAGTAGAGTCATTTCATTATTTCCACTGGTTTTAAAACAGCTTCTAACAAACACAGATATCCTTTACACACTAAATACATGATTTTAACTTGTGCAAAGTTTATTTCAGTCCACAGCGACAGTGTTGCTATTTTAACACTCTGATTCATCACTGCAGCTCAAAATAAGATGAGACACCTGTGTGATGAGGACGAGGAAAAAGATAATATTTTAATTAGTAAAACAATCCACACACTGTTAATGGGCTCCCATTATTATAACAGACCTCATCAGTCATTAACTGGGATACTTCTCCACCCTTTACTCCAGTGACAGAAACAGTTTGGTGTTACTTTAAAGTCTTTTATGTGACAAATTCAGAAGAGTTTCATCATCTTTCATCATCGTCATCTCTTTACTAATGTCACATACAGCCTGGTGATGTCTACACGTGATGTAAGGCTCAGCTGGCGGTGACTTTTTGGACAGCATTTTAAATGTTTCAACATTTTCCGTGATTAGATTACAGATTACATCTCTGCAGTTATCCAGGGGGACAATGTGACAGGTTAGTCAACCAGATAATGAAAAGATATCCTGGGTAAGCTGCAGTGGCTTCGTAGTACAGGCGTCTGGTAAAGAGATTCATTCAATGTTTTTGAGCATCCAATGTTTCATTTCTCTTCTGTGACGACGACGCTCGGTTGACGACTTTGGTCCACAGTGAAATATCTCAACAACTATTGGATGGTTTGCCAAGAAATCTGTCACAGATGTTCATGTTACCCGGAGGATGAATTGTAATAACTGGTGATTTTCTGTCTTTTAATGTAGCACCATCATCAGGTCAACTATTTAAGTGTCCAGTACTTTGGTTTGTGACCAAATACCTGCAGAACTAATGACATTCACATCAGCCTTTGTCTTTCAAAGTTACACCCAAAGACCTGAAATCATGCAGCGGTCATGTCTTATATTTGCAAAACAGAGACAAGATGACATGAGATATATAATTATATCTGTTCCATCACACAGAGTCTGTGAGAAAACAGCTTTCACTGTCCAATCAGATGCTTCGATCATCTGTATAGAATAGTGTGATGATGTCAACGTCCATGTTACCTGGTGTGGATGTGGAAGTTGTTGGTGGTTCCTGTGTGTTCGAAGTCGTGAATCGCTGCAGCAAAAACCATCGCCAGGATCTCCAGCTCGCTGAGCCAGTGCTGCATACGCACACACAGACACACACACACACACACACACAGAGTTAACTGAGTGGGTTAATATCAGTCACACTGTGGAGAAACTTCTACAGTGTGACTGTCCATAGAGACCATAGAGACAGAGAGACACAGTCGAGTGACAAAATTATGTCAGTGTGTGTGTGTGTGTTACCATCAGTCCGGTGTGTAGCATCAGGAAGTGTGCGGTCTGAGTGACATCAGCGGCGTGGATCAGGTTGTGGTAGGGGTTCCTGTGTTTGCTGTAGCCGTTCTCCAGAGCTTCAACAAACTGCACCAGAGCCTGCACCGGGATCTGGACACAGAACCACACGGAGCGCTGTGAGTACAACATGTTGTCTATGTGGATACTCAGTCTTCCAGAACCAAAGACATCTAGTAGCTCTACGCGCTAGACTGTGTCTTAGCTAGGTGAAGTAACGTCCTGGAAGTAGTCTGGCACATAACTGCTCCATAAAACCACAACTTTGGTTTTTGTATGAATAAAACAAACAAGACTGTGCATGTGTATTAGTGAGCTTTACAGTGTGTTCCAGTACCCATATTACCGTACCATTCAGTATGCCAGAAAAAGATTTAGTATGTCCCAATGTGTAGTATGTCTGATGCAGTGTGCCAAAAATACCAGGATGTTCTCCTGCATCCAGGCTCATTTTGTTGTATTCAAGCCAGCATGATTTTCTGGCTATTCTGACCCACAGTCCCACAAGATTCATCACGTGGCCTGAGCTGCAGACAGATTACAGCTCACCAACACATGACAGAAGCTGCAGTTACAGATGACAGCATGATTATGTGCAAGTGCTACATTTTTAGTGACTTGTGTGTATAATTAATACACATTTTTATATATGTGTGTGTGTGTGTGTTAATTTTGTGCTTCTACAGGTGACGTATGCATAAGAAAGAGGGGAAAAGTTTAAAGTGCAATGTTACAAAGAAGTAACTGCATCCTCCATGCAACAATACGTACTCGGAAAGTTGCAGTACGTACTGAAAGTAAAAATTAAAGTATGGAACGCAGCTTCAGACAGAGCTAGGCTAGCTGTTTCCCCATTTCCAGTCTTTGTGCTAAGCAAAACTAGTGAGCTACATTTAATTGCAGCCCGTCCTCACTCGTCATGAACCTTTTCATAAAGAGCTCTACTAGTACACCTAGCTCCACCCATCCTGACATGAGGCCCCACCCACCACACAGGTGTTAACATATGAAGCTGTGTGTACCCTGAACCTGTTGATGAGGTCATAGCGGGTCAGCAAGTCGTAGACCAGGAACTTGAGGGCGTGATCTCCGGTGGCCTCGTGGAAGGCAAAGACATCGAACGACCACTGATCCACTTCCTGGAAAACAACCAGTAAGATTCAGACTGGACATTCAGTAGAAACACAGATCCAAAAAGGTTTGAACGCTGTGTAAATATAAACAGAACGCATTGATTTGCGAATTGTTTTGACATATAGTCAACTGCATACAGTAGAAAGACACAATATTCAATGTTCAAACTGATAAACTTTATTGTTTTTTTTATTAATATACACAAACTGAGATCACCTCCAAAGATCTGGGCCTCTTCATATCAACACAACACAGACAGCACTGGAGTACATTAACAGTAAGTATCTTATCTTTGCACTGCATTTAATAGATTCATTGCATTCTGTTTTATTTAGGCTTTACACAGGGTCCCAACTTTTCGGGAATTGGGGTTGTGAAACAGGACAGCACAGTGGTCTTCAGTCAGTGTAATGTGGGATGTGTGCCAGTAGAGGGCAGTGTGACTGTAACGTTCGCTGACATCGAGAGGTCAAACAGCATATCCTGTTAAATTAATGATTATAATTATCCATTAGAGCATGATGACATTTTAAATGGCTGGGATTACGATTCATACAGTGGGCCTATTGTCTTCCAAAAGTTTTTATTGTTTTCCGCTTCTGTTTTACATCATTATAAAAGCATTAATAAGAAACGGCTGCAGAATAATTACTGATTCATTTCATTTTTTTTTCTCTGAGTTTGTGCAGGAAGCGCTGAGGGGGAAACATATGTCATCACACACACGACACGTTTTTTTCTTCATCCGCTTCCTACTTTCCTTCCTTACCTCCTCCTTTCCTTCTCTTCCTTCTTGTCTTTCCTTCCTCCTCATCTCCTTCTCTCAGTCCCTTACTCTTCCTTCCCTTCCCATCTTTTCTTTCATTGCTCCTCCGTTCCAACTCCCCCTTTAAGGGTGCTTTACTTTTTGCCATCGTGTTTCCTCCTCGCTCCTCACTCACGTCTCTTCCTCACATCTTAGCTCCTTCCAGCGAGGATGTGTGACAGAGGGATGCAAGGAAGAGGATGTGAGGACGGAGGAGCCGAAGCTGCCACAAGACAAATCCCTGGTTCCTCAGCATCTGTCTTTAGCAAAGCCAGTTACGATGCCACATGTGAGGTGCTGCATTTTTATGTCACATCGCTTGATGAAACACTTCCATGTAGCAAACACCTGTGTTTCCTTGCTCTAAGCCCGCCTAGAAGCCTCCTTACCTCCTCGCTCCTCAAGGTCCGTTTAAGAGATTGGAAGATTTTTTAATGATGGCTGGGAGGGAATAATTTCGGGGTTATGTGAGGAGAGAGGACGCAAGGAAGGATAAGTCAGCATAATTAAAGCACACTTGATTTCCCCCTCTACTTATCTTCATTCCCAACGTCCTCCTATCATCTCTAGCTCCTACTTTACCACCTCTTTCCTTCCCTTTCTCATCCTTTTGGTCTTCAACGTGTACTCCCCTGCCTCCTCCTTTTTGTCTCATGTCCTCCTTTATCTCCTCTTTACCTTTTTTACCTCCTACTTTTCCTTCCCTACCTCCTATGTTCCCTCCTTACCTTCTCCAATCATCTTTCTTCCTTCTACACCACCTACTTTTCTCCCCCTCCTCCTTCTTTTGGTCCTCAACATTGCCCTCTCTGCCTCCTTATTTCCTTCTTTACCTCCTACTTAAGTTTCCTACCACTTCCTTCCTGCATCCCCTTTTCCAATGCCACTTCTTCATTTTTCTCTCCTCAGTACCTCCTTCTTTCCTTCTCGTTCTCCCCCCTCTGATCACTTCCTTTCTTTTCCTACCTCCTTCAAGTCATACTTTCCTTCTTTACATCCTATGTTCCTCTCCTACCTCCTACTATCATCTATAACTCATTCTTTGCTTCTATACTTCCTACTTTCCTTCCCTTCCAGCACTTCTTTGTCCTTACCTCCTCATTTCCTAATCCACTTCTTCATTTTCCTCTCTACTTTCCTTCCCCTTCTGCTTCCTCTTTCTTTCCTTCTTGCATTTTCCCTTCTTCATCTGCATCCTTGCGTCCTTCCATATCTCCTTATTCAGTTTTATTTTCACTTTGGCTAATACTTTCCTGCATCCTCTTCACTTTCCTGTCTTTACCTCTCTCCTTTCATTCCCACCTCTCTCCATTCCTTCCCTTTCTTTCACTCCTCAGTCCTTTCCATAACTTTTCTTTATTCATTATTTATTTATTTTCCTTGCCTGCTGCCTCCTTTCCTTTCAAGTTTCTGGTGAGAAAAAAACTGTCTTCCAGAGCAGGAACTGACTGACTGAAAAAAAGTATATTTATGTTTTTAAAAATAAATAATAAAGTGATGCAACTTCCTGCAGATGGGACTGCAGTGATAAAACAGTGTTTACCTTCAGAGCTGTCAAAGCCGTGGGAGGGTAGGTCAGACCAGCCATGTTGGACGTCCGTCTGTACATCCTAATGTCACACACACACACACACACACACACACACACGGATAAAAATATCATGCACAAATCTCACACCTTGATACAGACAGTTGCATGCACATAAACACTCCTCACGCAGACCTCCAGCCGCACTCCTCCACAGTTTGTGACCAGGATGGATTGGTGGTCGTCATGGTAACCGTGTTCCAAACACACACGGAGAGAGAGCGCGCTCACCGCCTCAGTGCAGCAGATATTTTTTGATTTCATGCGTCATTAAGCCGCAGCAGATGAACTGATACTGTTCTATCACTGCGAGTCATTTACACTCTAATGACATTGGACCTCATGGTTTCCCTATATGATCTCCATCTCCAGCTCGCTGGCACGCTAACGTCATTACACTTCATGTTCGACCTCGTAATCACATCTGCGGTGAGGTCGGGGCCGGATGCCTTCTGATGTTTATTTGGAAGAAGTTGATGATTGTTTTCTGCTTCGTCTTCAGGTGTTCCAGATTACTGCCGGAGACAAAAATAACTCTGGGAACATTTCAAAGTGTCGCTCTTTGGTTCGAGACAATCGTCTGACTGGACTTTGATGAGTCAGTTATTAATATATTGCACTGCACGGCCTTGATTGGATTGTTAAATATGTGATTTCTAACCACAGTCATGAATGTGCTGCTCTAACGGCCTTCACTCCTGCAGCAGATTAAACACGAGAACATCAGTGACATCTAACACTGGTGTTGTAAAATAAGGTCTGAGCTCACAGTCAGTCCTCTAGTCCATCCCAGAGGTGTCGGATGTGGTTGAGGTCAGGGCTCTGTGCAGGCATGTCAAGTTCTTCGACACCAAAAACAGTTTCTTTATGCAGCTTTGTGCACAGAGGTTATTCATATTCTTTTGCCCAAACACTGCATCTCCCAGCAGAAACACTTCAAAATGAAAAATGTATGGTAAATATTTGTAGAGCTTGAACGATGGCTCTCTCAGTTGTGTTTCTTCTTGCCTTTTCTGCCTCTCCGTCTCTCCTTTCAGCTCCTGTATCTCCAATCTGTTCTTATTCCTGGGTCGTCAGAAACGGACACTTTGTCACGCCCCTTGGCATCTCATAGTAACATACAAGGCAACCTCTAGCTCATCTATGTGCTGGATATTGTGAAATTGTTGCTGTTAGGTTTAAGCAACAAACCTACTTGGTAAGGATGACCTAAATACATCCTGTGACTTAGTGCATGACAACCATTAACTTCTGGTTCCACGTAGGACAGAACCTGTGGTCGCCTGGATAAACGTCCAATTTCGTCTCTCTTGGTGTCAGCTATTGCACAGACGGGTTTACATTGTTACATGAAAGCCTGATGACGCCAAAGGGTGCCTTTAGCGTCAATATCACACACCGCAGGGCATGACAAAGTGGAGGTATTTGATGCCCAGGAAACGAGAACAGGCTGGCGTCTCTATCAAGCTTCATTGCCATACTCCATCTGTTCACCAGATGCCCTGGGACCTTACTCATCCTGCCCACCTGACTCCCTCATCTTCCTGCTCACCTGCGTGTCTCACTTCCCAATCACGCTATCAGTGTTTATACCACCCTCTTTCCCCCAGTCAGTCGCCAGATTGTCTCGTTTGCATGCGCCCTGTAGCTGATATTCTGCCTGCCTGATGATTCTCTGCAACAGATGATCCTGTCCAGATCCAGTTTATTTCATTTTATTGGGTGACTTTAGTGTTTTAAAGGGTTAGTTTGGCTTCACCAAAGTCACAGTAGCACGGACTAACTGACTCTGCAAACTAAAATTACTGTTTTTGTCAGTGGAGTCTGGTGACTTTGGAGAGAGGATAAATAACAGCTTCCAATCAGAAATTACTGTCCATGCCAAGGTGAGAATGTTCTATAGCGTACACTTAAACTGATATTGATCTTTTTTAGGTGGATAAAACTGAGCATAGAGTCTGACTTATCAATGTCATTTCTGTTTGTCATTGATGCTGCTCTGTTCTGTTCTTGGGGGGTCTTTGCTGCTGCTCTCCCTGCCTTAGCCTTTCCATAGGCACATGGAAGGGCAGGGAGGTGTGCTCTCTCTGCCTTAGCCTTTCCATAGGCACATGGAAGGGCAGGGAGGTGTGCTCTCTCTGCCTTATGACTTTCCATGCAGGCGTGTGGAAGGGTGGAGAGGTGTGTGCTCTCTCCGCCTTAGGCTTTCAAGTAGGCATGCAGAAGGGCAGAGAGGTGTGCTCTCTTTGCCTTATGCTTTCCATTTAGGCTTGTGGAAGAGGTTTTCTGTGTAGGCCTGAGGAAATGCGGAGGGGCCCCAGAACAGAGCCATACCAACAAACATAATACTGCAAATGGAATTAAAAGTTTTCTTTGACTAAAGTGACTGACTAAAATACTTTTTTTTTTTCCACAGCAGTACATTGCTTAGCTTCAGTGACAGTACTACACTGACTATGGTTAAGTACCCAATGCAAACCCACTACAAAAACTCTGAGCTGTCTAAATCTGACTGCCATTGCTGTGTGCGTTTGGGTTGTGTTCAATCAACTTGCTCACGTAACAAACTTAACTTACTAATCAACCAGCTCCTCTTGACCTCTATTAATGAAATATAAAGTCAAATTGAAGTAAAAAATTTTACCTCTCCACAAATATCCCAGCTTGCACTGCATGGACGATGCTCCTGAATCTTGGCTTCTCCTCGGGGCGACGTTTGGCCACGCCCATCTTCCTGCTGAAGGTACATGCCAGCCAATCACGAACTTCGCTGGGCACTGACTCCGCCTGCAGGTCGCTGAGCTCGTCCTCGGTGTCCAGCAGACGCCTGCAGGACAGACAGAAACACCCGTCAGTCACAACTGGGACAACCAATGAGGAGGATTTATTTAGCTTCACATCCATTCATCCGTCAGTCTGTCAGTCAGTCTTACTTGGTCTCATCAGTGTAAACAGCGTCCAACATGGCAGCAGCGAGCTCCAGGTTCCTGCGGAGCTCCTGCAGGTCCACGACACCCCGGTCCATCTGCTCCAGGACCCCCTTCAGCCTGATGACACAAACACACACACACACACACACACGTCACACACAGTACACTCATGTGCAGCTATGATCACCAAATAAAGTAAAACACAATTTATCCAAAGTGTCTATTAACTCATCAGTTACAGATTTTATCTATTGGAAATTTGTGATATGTGTCATTTGGTTCAGGTGGAGATGAACTTTCTGCTTTGACGATGACTTTTTTTTTCTCTGCCTCATCCCTCTAATAACTTTTATTTAAATGTGGCATTTACTGTCTGATCCATATGTAAGAAAACCTGATCATTCGACATAATAACTGCACTAATAATTAAAATCCAGCTTTGGAACAGAGACTTTCTTGGCATTGTGCCGTGTAGCTCACTTCATTTGTTCAGGTAAGGATGTTAGTTTTTTTGAAAACAGACTTATATTATTGCTTTTTAATATTTATGTTTCATAGCAGTCTGTAGAAATCACCATTTCCTACTGTCATTGTTTGTTCAGTCACGTCTTTAATAACAGCAGGACCGAATGGACTGAACTCGGTCAAGGTTTAGACAGCAGAAAGATTAAAAAACAGTTACAATGACTTAATACAAATGCTGCTCCAGTTGTTTTCTGCATTCTTTCTTTTCTTTCTGTTCACAAAGTAATCGTTATATTATACATACAGACCCATATGGAAGCAACGTGCTGCCACACCAGGGGGAAAAAACTGATCAGTAACAGCTACATGAAAAGTTTCACGTTATAACAAGATGTTTTACGTGTTTTTTCTTGTAAAACAAAAAAAGAAAGAAACATTTCACTCTATTACGTGATAACATATTGCTATAATGTGAAACCTCCACCCACCCTCTCCCTGCTGACTTTGATGGTGTAGACCAGCAGTCAGCAACCTTTACATTTAAAGAGCTTTTTTTTATTATTTGCCTGGAGCCACAGTACATATTTTTGCGTCATAATAAAGGTGACACAGCCTGTTAGGTCTGAATAAGCCCATCAATATTACGAAAAGTTCTAATTAGCATTCATTAATATGTTTTAGCACAAGGTAGCTACACACAGTGGGCTATTTATGAATATTTGGTACTTAAACTTTGTAGCGTTGGTGGTGAAAGCAAAGAAATCTGTCCACTCACTATTATGTTCTCTGTTTTCCTCTGATACTTTTTCAGATTTTGAATCAATAGCTACCCTAGCAAGGGAGACTCTGCTGTTAACTAGCCACCACTACTTCATCAAAATCTGGGGAGATGGCATCAGGCCGTAGATGTATGACGCACGCTTTAGTTGACAGAATGTTAAAACTTTTATTTAGTGTATAGGTTACACATTTTTACAGCTGTTAAATGTAAGAAAAAAAATCTAAATGTTAAAAATAACCGTTATTCATTTCCATATAATTTACCCTAAAAGACACATAAAGAGGCGCATGCAGCTCCAGAGCCGCAGATCGACTACCCCTGGTGTAGACCTACAGTCCACATACTTATATCACCCACCATGTTCAGTAACAGCAAAATCTTGCCATGACTCAACCCAAGCTTGAAGCAGAACTTAATCAGGTCCTGTAGATGAGAGATATTCCTGAATGTAGCTGTTCTCCAACATGTTTCCTCATTTAAACACGAGTTTCACATTATATTATATCCTGAAATGTTTCATGTTACACCAAGATAAAATAACTACATTGGTGAAACAAGAAAAGTTTCTTGTTATAACATGAAAATATCTTCAGTAGACTCAGATCGCAAAGTCTATGTCGCTTAGTGTGAACACTGTGTACTGTACCCGGGCAAGATACGCTGGTCTGTGTCTGAGTCCACTTGAAAAGGTGGTCTTGAGTCAGATCATGTGTACTCAGGTACATTTTGCATCAGGTGAAAAAACAGCTGCACCGAAACACGGAGGTGGATGGCTATTTAACAAGAGCAGCTGTTAGCAAGTAGAGTTGCAAAGATGTTTCTTTATGCCACTGGTCTCCTTCAACATCTGCATATGTGCACAGCACGCACCTCACTCATCCTGAGCTGCACAGCCATGTGGACTGTGGACAAGTCCTCTGCTGTGGAGTGGTTTCCTCTCCATCTGAAATAACACTAGATTGATTTTGGGCTCCATTTGTTCAAAGATCAGCTCTGCCAAAATGGCTCGTTATCGGTCAAAGGTGCAAGTTGTCATTTTACTGTTTCCTCTCTGGTACATCCTCAGAAACAGGAATGTGTTTGGGTGCATTATCTGCAGCAAAACAGCGCAATTATATGAGAGCTCTTCACTTCATGCTGTTTTCAGCCTCATCAAGCTGCAGATCTCTTCCCACAGTGGATCAGCAGGAAATATTTTCAACCCAGCTGTTATCTTCATCTTATCTTCAGAGCCTTGTCACACTGAGCTGTCTGAGCTGACTGTTGCCAGATTTCACTCAGACAATCACAGCCCTGAACTCGCCCACCCAAAACTATTTTTACCTGCCCACTTGGATAAAAAGTGGCCCAATTCTGCCAACACAGTCTGAGCCGTTGTTTTGGATTCAGAGTGCTGAGAGCTCAGGTGCTCTGATAACATCTATGAAAAGAAAATAACACTAACATTATTTTTTCTTCCTCCATGTTTGAGCTTGTTTAGATGAAATCTGAGTGGACACTCGAAAAAGGTCAGTGATAGAAAGTTCAAATCATCTGAACTTAAAGGGCAGCAGAGAGTTATAAATCTGTAACATGCTGCTGCACTGCTCTTTTGTAGGGCTGTACAATATATAAATGTATATATATATATATATATATATGTATATATCCATATAGATTTTTTTTTATCCTCATCGTGATGTTGACTTGCACAATTCACACATTCCCAAAGACTGTGATATTGCACCTTGTTTATAGGTACAATGTATTAAATTACATTCTGTTTGTGGGCGCTATTTAGTCGGATATGTGTCTTGCTGTTAACTCTCTGACCAATCCGACAGAGCATTTGCCGTTGGGCATTGTCTCATTGGTCAAAATCTACATGCATGCAAGTGAGATTTATTAAACTAAGAAGTTTAAATCTCTGCTCCACCCGATCAGCTGGGCAGTACATTTTCAAGATTTCCCCAGGCTTGCATCAGGTCAGGTTCTCGCTAATTTTCCAGCATTTTTTATCTATAAGAATTAACAAAACACTTCACTTTCACTTTGGTGCTCTGCTGCTCCATCCAGAGTGCGTTCTGATGCTCCGAGTGTGCTGCTCTGAACTGAATGGTATATTCCAACAGCACCCTGACTTTACGAACTGGCCAGTGTGTGCCATAGTGCGCTCTGGCCATGGCTGGATTATTGAATGGGCCTACAAGGCACAGGCCCAGGAACCCAAAGTGTCAGGAGACCTCCCTGGACTTCACCTGCAAAATGTAACTCAGATTAACACAACCAGACAGACACAAAATGACCTCAAAAACACACAAAATAACCCCAAAGAGGCAAAGAATGACCTCAAAGAGCCAAAAATGAACTATAAGAGAAACAAAAGTACTTCAAAGAGACACAAAATGACCCCAAAGAGACAAAAAAATGATCTCAGAGACACAAAATTATCTCAAAGAGGCAAAAAATGACCTCATAGACACACAAAATGACCACAAAGAGACACAAAATGACCCTAAAGAGACAAAAAATGACCACAAAGAGACAAAAATGACCTCAAAGAGACAAAAAATGACCTCAGAGACACAAAATTATCTCAATGAGACAAAAAATGACCTCAAAGACACACAAAATGACCTCAAAGAGACACAAAATGACCTCAGAGACACAAAATTATCTCAAGGAGACAAAAAATGACCTCAAAGACATAAAAAATGACCCCAAAGAGACAAAAAATGACCACAAAGAGACACAAAAGTACTTCAAAGAGACACAAAATGACATCAGAGACACAAAATGACCCCAAAGAGATGCAAAAGACCTACTGTATAAAGACACACAAATGACCAAAGAAATACACAAAATGACCCCAAAGAGACACAAAGCCACTAAATGATGCATAACAATTACAAAGAGATCCAAAACAACAACCAAAACGAGACAAAACCACCACACAGCCTGTGTGTCTTGCTCCTGTGTAGGAGAGGTGGTCAGGCTGTTAGCATATCTGTGCCCAGGGGCCCATTGTCTCATCATCCGCCCACGACTCTGGCGCTCAGTGTGGCTATTTACAAACACACCCTGTGTCGCAAATGTCTGTTACCGCACTGAGAAGACTTCAGTTGACTCTAGCTTCTAATAAATGTTTCCTTTTTTTCTAAATGCAGTGGAAATTAAGGTTTTAATCAGGCTCGGGCCCAAAACTGCTGCTGTGGTGGTGGTTTGGGCCTGATCAGAGCTGAAGCTGCTGAGCTACTCTGCATGGCTGGGAGAGGAGAGTGTGACAAGATGAGCGCAGATGGAGGTGTGAAGCCAGAGAGGAATATTTTGGCAATATTTTGGATACAGGAGAGACAGCGTGGCACAAGTGCAGGTAGTGTGCAAGTCTAAGTCAAAAACTGCAAAGGAATAATTCTGATTTTTAGAGGTGGGGTTGTCTGGGGTACTTACCCACTGTTGGTGTATTATATACGGTCTGATATGGAAGCTAAGCAACAAAATACCCCATTTCAAAAAATCTGAACCATCCTCCCAAGTAATATCGTTATCATGATATTCAACAATGTTATTGCATATTTTCATTATATCATAGAGGCTTCGTTTTTGCACTGCACTCCACTGAATTCTGCTGCACTGCAGTGTTACATACTGTCCCTGTTGCAATGTGGGGATTCCTATTTAACACACCTCAATAAGAGCAATAGGAGTCTGCAGAAATCCACTCTGCAGACTTCATACACCTGCTAACTGACAGAAGGAAGTTCTGATCCTCATACTTTGCACCCACACAGCTGCTGTCCTGTTCACACCACAAAACCAGAACATGGAAATCTGTTTCCTCCAGATGGACACATGACACCCCGCCGCCTGTCAATCAGCTGACTCCCACAGAAAGCAATGGGAGTCTCCTGCAGGAAATAAACAGACCTGACTGTCTCCACGACTTCATACCTGCTGCATCTCTGTCAGCCAGGACCAAGTTCAGATCAGTCTGAAACCAAAACTTTTCTATTTATACAGGATTCAAAGTTTTTTTCTCCACACTGCAAAAAGTTCTTTTTAGGAAAAATAATCTAACAGTTTATTGCTAGGAGATGCTGAGTGGGCGTGAAGTGATATTCTGTATTCAAAACAGAGCTCATATATATTCATCGGGCGCCGATCATCCAGTGCTGGTGCACTGAGCGAGGAGGACGGCTGGATATTTAGTGCTGTGTTGCTGCTGCTCAGGATGGAGGGAAGGTGCGAATGTTTACAACAGAGGAGGCTGACGACAGGGAGACATAAAGA